AGACTCCCTTGAAGGAAATTAAATTTTCATTTGCAACTGGTTATCAATTGGAGATCACCTCTGGGTTAGGGATGGGGCTTGTGTCCACTTCTCCTTTCAGCTCTAGGACCCCATCTGGTGCAGAACCCTGCAGGCCACATGCATGCTGTCTCAGTCCTGAGTTCAAATGTGCATGGATCATGTTGATTTAGAGGGCCTTGTTTCCTTGTCGTCCTCCATCCCCTCTGGCTCTTACACACTTTCTGCCTCCTCTTCTGCAGGGTTCCCTGAGGTCTGAGAGGAGGATGTGAAGGAACATCTCTAATGACGGCTGAGCAAGGAACTGATTTATTAGGAGTCATTTAATTGCTGCTTTTTAAAAAACAGTAGTATTTGGTTTTACCCTGGGCTATCTAGTCTCAAGTTCTGGGTGACCCAAGCAATGTCAGGTATAGGCTCCATCTCGTGGAGTGGGCTGTAAGTCGAATCAGAATTAGTTGGTGACTCCCACTAACCGTGTGCCACCATTGCACTCGTGTATCTTGCAGGCAGGACAGATTGTAGACTGAAGGGTTTGTGGCTGGGTTGTCCATGTTTCTCCTTTGGTAGCCTGCAGAGTGCCTGGACCAAAAACGTTAGAACATAGGGGTGAAGGTCCTATGTAGGCAGCAGCTCGACTTCTCCGTGTTCAGTGAGTTGTGTGCATGTCGTCTTCAGTAATGGGGCCTTGCAGGCAGTTTGTGGAGAGCAAACTATAGTCTTGGCAACAGCCTGGGTTGTTTTGGGGTTCCCGTGGGGCCTCTTTGACCAACAACTTAATTAAATGTAACCCAATCCTGGTATTGGAAGCTTCATTTGGTGACAAGAGATGGCCAGTTGGGGCTCTCTCTCCTCATTATTTGATGGTTTCATTTAGAACATCTTCACATATTTATATATTTTAGGAAGCTTCTACTGTATTAGATTTCAATATTACCCTTAAATACTACAAATGGCCCTTCAATTTCAGCTGTCTCCCTGTCTCCCTTCCCTTATCCTCCTCTTCCATCCCCCTCTCCATTTGATCCTCCTGTTTCAGTCTCCCTCCCGCCCCAAATCCATCCATACTAATTACTCTTTTTCCCTTTCCTGGGGAGATCTATCTGCTCCACCCCACCTCACCCAGTCCCTTACTCTATACCTAAGCTCTGTGGTTCTGTAGCTTGGTTCTCACTGACTCAACAACTAATATCCACATAGAAGCAAAGGCCACATTTGTCTTTCTGGATCTGGGTTACCTCATTCAGGATGATTTTTTTTTCTAATCCCATCCATTTACCTTCGACTTTCATGATTTCATTTGTTGTTGCTGTTGTTTTGTTTTCCAAGACACGGTTTCACAATGCAGCCCTGGTTGTGCTACAACTCACTCTGTAGACCAGGGTGGCTTCGAATTCAGAGATCCACCTGCCTCTTCCTCCTGAATGCTGGGATTAAAGATACTCACCACTGGATGAATAAAACTCTACTTTGTAAATTTATATTTTCTTTATTCAGTCATCTTTTGAGGGACATCTAGGTTGTTTCCAATTTCTGGCTATTTTGAATAGAGCAGCAATAACCATGGTTAAGCAGGTGTCTTTGTGGTAGCATAAAGCATCTTTTGTGGTATAGTTGGATCTTAAGGTCAATTGATTCCCATCTTCAAGAGGAACTGCCATAGTGATTTCCGTAGTGGTTGTACACGTTGGCAGTCTTACCAGCAATGGATGAATGTTCCCACTACTCCACATCCTTGCCAGTATGAGCTGTCACTTTTTTTTTCTTTTTTATTGATCCTAGGCTTCTGATGGGTGTAAGATGAAACCTCAAAGTAGTCTTGCATTTCCCTGATGACTAAGGTGTTGAACATTCAAGTGTTTTTCAGAGGTACTTGCGTGGCCATACTCATTGCTGCTATACTCACAATAGCCAGGACACAGAAGCAACCTAAAAGTCCTTAAACTGTGATTGCACAGTGCTCAGGAAGCTGGTCCTGTCTTCCTGTCTCCGAGCCCCCACAGACAGTTCCAGTGGAGTTAGGGGAGTGTGTGGTAGTACTTCTAGCTGGCATCGGCACTATTCATGCCTGTGTCATTCATTGTTAATTTCTTTGGCAGTCTGAGCGCCGTTGCTTCTAAAATAGATTTCAGAGGCATCTGTCAAAACCCAAACAAACACTTCAGCATAGAACACACAGGCTGCCAGACTCTTGACGTGTAACTGATGATGGTGGGGCTGCTTTTACAAACAAAAAACAAAAAAAGCCGAAAACAAAACAACAACAACAAAACAAGAGCAGGACAACTTCGTTCTTTGCCACTGCAATTTGAAATATCTTGAAATTTCCATTTCCTTACTTCCTCAATACTTACATGCTTTTTGTCCTTTGAAAAAGTGGAATTTGCATCTATCATTCGTTTTTGGGTACAGATTTCCTCTGAGCTGAGCTATAGATAAGTCTCCCTTACCACAAGATGTTAGGAATGATCCCGTTCTGTTGTTTGTCCAAGCATCTCTTACCTAGCTTAACACCATCAGCCCTGTGGTTCTTCCACTAATCTCCCCTTCCTCTCCCACTAAGTGGACTCTGTGTCCTCTCTGGGAGTGTGAAACCATCTGATTCAGTGTTAGGAAAACAACCAGATTAAATGTCATGTACTAAAGTCAGGATGTCTCTGCTTCCTCCTCACCGCCTTAGCTCACAACTAGCATCCCAAGCTTTTATCATAGGAAAGCTAGTCAACTCAACTGCTAATGAGTTTTAGAACAGACTATTTCCCTCTTCCAGCTGAGAAAATAGGTATGGTACTTCCTTAAATGAATGACCACTGATACAGGTGGTTAGATTAAAAATACGTGTTTTAAAATAGGAATTGCTTGCCGCTCCTGCAACCGCACAGCATAGTTGACCGCAAACACAGTTGTGAGGACATGGCTGCTATAATGCTGAGTAGCAGAGACCAGCTACATTTTATCACATCATTCTGTTGCTTGTGTACAGGATGAGTCCTTGGTCGGGGTGGTAGTTAGAGTAGTAGTGGAGATAGGAACATGTGTTAAGAGGCTTTTCAGGTGGTTCCTTCATCAGTCAACAAAGCTTTACAACTCCCAGCATTGGCTAGGATTCCTAATTTCCTTACTAACTAATCTGAAACTCAGCAATTTAATCTTTTCTGGGCAGCAGTATGCTGGTAAATGTGCAATAACCAGCTATCAGAGGGAAGCACGGACTTGCAGCATTTGGTAATTTCAGAGACACAAATGCTTCTACTGTGACCAGTTTCAAGCTGCCAACCTGTCCTCAGCGTACTGGGAAGCAATGCATAGTCGGTTCGTAGGGACCACAACCGGGCACTAGCACTCCACTACCTTTGAGCTCTTAAAGCAGCAGCCAGAAGCCTGGTGTGGTGGCACCCCTTAGTCCCAACACCTGGGAGGCAGAGGTAGGTGTCTCTGTGAGTTCAAGATCAGCCTGGTTTGCACAGTCAGAGCTGACAAAGGACAAGGTGAGCCTTCCAGGCACCTGCTTAACCCGAGGAGGGCTGCAAGGTCTTGTGGCGGCCTTTTGGCCTTTCACTTCACAAGCTTATTTTCTATAAATGTAGGCAAGAAAAAGTGTATGGCAGGGCCTGGGCTGGTGGTTCAGCAGTTAAGAACACTGATTGTTTTTCCAGAGGACCCTAGTTGGATTCCTAACATCCATGTGGTTGGTAGCTCACAACTGTTGGTAACTAGTTCCAGGGGATCTGATGCCTTCTTCTGGCCTCTGAAGGCTCCAGATATTCAAGTGGTAACAGGCAAGATACTCATATACATAAAAATAAAAAATAAGTCAGGTGGTGGTGGCGCACACTTTTGGGAGACAGAGGCAGGAGGATCTCTTGAGTTCGAGGCCAGCCTGGTCTATAGAGCTCCAAAGCTACACAGAGAAACCCTGACTCGAAAAACAAAAATAAATAAATAAATAAATAAATAAATAAATAAATAAATAAATAAATAAATAAATAAATAAATAAGCAAGCACTGGGGAGAACTCTATTTAAAGATGTTGGTGGCCTATCTTGATTTATTTATCAATGACTTTTTCTCTATACTTTTTTTAACCAACCACAGATCCCCCTCTTCCCTCCTCCCAACCCTCCAACCCCCCATTCCCTCCTACAAGAAGGTAAGGCCTCCCATGGGGAGTCAGCAGAGCCTGGTACACTCAGTAGAGGCAAGTCCAAGCCCCTCCTCCTGCCTCAAGGCTCTGCAAGGGCATTTTCTTTCTTATGTCAGGTGTGCTGGGTCCATTTTACATTTTTCTTGCCTCAACAATGAAATAGCTGTTTTTCGAGAGGCCCTAGGCACATCTTGATAATGGATGCAAAAGATGTGTATTCTCATTTCTGGCTAAAATCCAGACTCTTGTGATTTGGTTAGCATAAAAACGATTCTCTAGTATTTGATCACCTTTACAATTCCGCAGGATTGAGTACAGATTCTGGATTAATATGCTTTAGTATCATTTGCTGGGATGCTCAATTTGAAGATGCTGATTTCTGGTGTAACATATGGTTCTGCCACCTAAGAGTCCATAATAAATCCATGGGTTTCAGTGGAGAGTTCATGTCTGGAATGGTTCCAGATGGCTAATTCCAAAATAAAAGCTCATCACAGGTTTTAAAAAGACTTGAGGACACTTTCCTGTAACCCTTTCCCTTTGAATGGAAAAGATGCCCCCACCTAAATACTTCGGATTCCCAATCACCAGCCTAACCATAGAAGTTCACTGATGAAGAAAATTTGGCCATCAACTTTATTCAGTGCATTTCTGTGGACTGGTAAAAAGCCCAGTGAATAGAAGATGAGATCCATCCACGACTCCTTGTATCTCAGCGGCTCCCTACTTCTCCTAGCTCCCAGTCCAGTCTTTAGGAGGGCCTTATTTTCACTGACACACTTGAAGAACACTTCTCAAACTATTTTACCTTAAAGCTGAGAAAAGAACAGAGACAAACTTGTAAAAATACATCTTTTAATAAACACGAGGCAGTACACCACACCCACTGAGGATTTTACCTTGTGGTTTACAGCACGTACTATCCATCATAGGGCATATATACAAGCAGAGTGAATTTATTCTTTTCTGAAGCTGGATGACACAAACCCAGTGTACCATCTCACATTTGAGGTTGTGTGCCAAGCTGGCTCCTTAGGCCTTTAAAATTAACAGCTTTTAAACAACAAAAGAAGTTATCCACCCCATCTCAATAATAGCCCCAAGAGTGCTCTGGTGACTCAGAAGGATTGTAAATGCATGCTTTCCTTTGATGGCTTTAAAAAATAGCTATTTATGCCGAATCTGGAACACTAAAAGGATAATATAGAAACAGCTGTTTCTCTTCCTGAGTGGATTCATAATAAATACCAATTGGAGGCCAGATGAAGATGCCAAAAGACTCTCATAAGCAAGCTTAACGTTTGTAGTTACAACTCGGTGAGCCGCAAACTGTTTAGTATTCTCATTGCTGAGTCTGCTTGCCTGCTTTCTTTTTCTCTTTTTAATTTTTTTGAGACAGGGTCTCACTGTGTAGCTCAGACTATCTTCGAACTTGCTATGGAGACCAGGATGTCCAGAGAGATGCACCTGTCCCTGCCTCCTGAGTACTGAGATTAACATCAAAAGCCACCATGCCTGGCCCTACTTTTAACTCTATTTATACTAAGACCAAGGGATGGTGGAATTCTTGATCCTTTTGAACAAAAGTTTAGTGAGAGAAAAACTAAGATTAACTAACAAAGGAGAAAAACTACTATCAATCTCAAAATTCCAGCTGCCACTGTCCTGGAATGATCAACACTCAGCTCTATCTATGAATGAGAGGAACGAGAGGTGAAAACAATTAGAAGCTATAATTTAAAAACCATAGATGTGCATGCTTTGTACTGACAGCATTTAAAAATTATACAATCGGATTTACTTGCCTACATAAAGTAGTGTTGGACTTATCTCTACAGAAATACTCGGATTTGCAAAAGAGGCATCATGAACTGTTTTTCATAAAATCAGCCGCTTGTAAAAATCTATAACTATAATATACCACAATCCTTACAAACATAATGCTAGTGGATAGAAATTATACCAATTAATGAGCAGCTCAAACCCCTAGGAGTTAAGACCCAACAACTCTCAATGTCCAAGTATTACTTTAGTATTAAAATGGTTTCGTCCATTTGATATCACATCAGGAGACATTTTTAAAACTTGTCTCTCTTTAATGTATCATCTTAATTTCAGAGGTAGAAAGGGTACAATTTAATCTCTCTACTATCTTGCCCATTCTCATTATCTGAAACTGTTATTACAGCTTGGAAGCTATGAGAGGAGACCTAACTTAAGTAGATTTCTAGCGTCCAGGATAGTAGTGCTGGTGTGCCATAGGCTGTCTGTGCCAGGGGACATGGCTCAGCTGAAATATGTTCCTGGATCAATGCTTGAGAAGTTCAACAGCTGCCAGTAAAGACAAGCTTTTTGCTGGTTGTCAGTTATAAGTTTGATCTGTATAAGATCAAAATTTCTACACAGCTGTAGCTACATCTTCCTTTTTGTGTATCCTCTAAAGTACTTACTCAAGTGTTAGGCAGAGCTAAACGCTAATGCACAAGTAGCCAGTGATGAAGCTGAAACTGAACAGTCAAGCTACGACCATTTACATCATGCATTACTGAAATAGTAGCCACCAACTGAATCTTTTATGCTGTCACTGAGAACAGGCTCCTGTACCCTACCACTTAGGTCTAAAAGGCAAGCGTTTGGCTTCGACAACCTTTTACTCATTTGTCTTAGCCACTCGCTTGTACAGGGCATGAGTACTACCTGATTGATGGGTATTTGGAAAGGGTTTCTTGCTTCAGATGAAGCCACAATCTGTCACTTGGCACATTTTAACTCCAACAATATAATCAGTAACTGACAATTATGGTGAGCTAGATGTACTTGGGCATGCCTGTAATCAGGGCTCAGGATGCAGACAGGAGAATGGTGAGAAGTTTGAGGGCAGCCTGGTCTACAGAGTGAATTCTAGGCCAGCTAGGGATACATAGCAAGAGCCCGTCTGAAAACCAAAAAGGCAGCTAAATGTTCCATATTTAAATATTGGCCTTACCCTGACATTTAAAATGCATTTTACTTTTCACTGAAATGAGGTAGAAGATAGTAGTAATCTTCAGTGTACTGACGCCTACTCAATTAGTCCCGAGAGAACAAAATTATACCCGCAAGCTGGCAGAGCTCTGGAAACAAACTGCAATTTTTATCTGACTGAAATTCCTTGCATTGAAACTGCTCTTTTCAGTTTAAGTCATCAGAGACAATAAAGGATCTGAAAAATCGGTAAGGATTAAGCACAACAGCACTGTTCCTTACCATGCTGCTTTCATGGCCTCACCTGCTATCACAGGTCCTTTCATGAACTTGATCAGACATCAACAAGGAGGCTAAAGACCCTTCTAGTATCAGAGGAAGATAAAAGGAATGTTTCACATTATAAGAATGTAATATATACCTCATGAAATCTAGCAGCATTTCATTCCACTAAGATAGACAAATTTGGCTCCACTGACTAGAACAATGGAAAAATGTATACAGGTCCAAAAAGGCTCTTCACGCAGGGGACTGTGAGGCTACGACACGTACTTTCAACAATTAATCATATCTCTGTTAAGTGCTATGTGAAACTACTGGAATGTCGATTTCAATGGCGGAGAGGGCGGGAACGTGATGAATAGGGCTGTGAGTAAGTGTGCATACTGGGAGGATGAGAGTACAGTGGCTGCCAGAAAGGAGAAGACAGCGACTTGCATGCACAGTACCAAATGAACAGAAGAAGAGCAGTCATAAACAGGCCCCCTGAGCTAGCAACAGTGACGAACACTGCGTAGTCAAAGGCAAAGACCGGCTCAAACTTCCTGTTGAGATGAGTGTTATAAAAGATGGCCCAGATGGATGGAGAGAGGCTCACAGTGCCTGCCAGGAAAAAGAGGAGTCCAGCCACCAGATGGCAGCCTGCACTATTGACCAGACACTTGGCCAGTTTGATGTTAGGCACCGACGACTTGAAGGCTGTGTTACACATTCCAATCAGGCAGAGGAGCAAGGCACCCATCGCGATCAGGATGCTGAGCGGCAGGGCGAACTGGAGGACACGCAAATCCAGCTGGTCAACTGATAAGTACCAAGTACGGTCGTACATCAGGCAGTCACTGCTCCCATCGTACCGGGCACACTTCACCCACAGGCCTGTGTAAATAGTCAGGTTCTTCTCGTTCTTGTTGAACGTGATCAGCCGCAGCTTCCTCCAGTTGGGAAGCAGAGTCCCCGCGAAGAGGCCAGCCACAGAGGCAATGCCACACAAGAAAGAGAGGACGGTGGCTGCGTGGACATCCCGGCAGCCCATGGCAGGTAGGCTGGAGCAGGAAGGTCAGACTAGGGGTGACATACAGAGGGCAGATCAGGCACAGCAGGAAAGCACAGCTGGAGCTGCCACTAACTGGCAGCACATTTCCTGATGAAATGACAGTGCAGAGGGCACTTCTGCAGAGCTTGCTGGCTCACGCCTATAATCCTAGCACTCCTGACCCAAGAGGACTACAGGAAGTCTGAGGCCAGCCTGGTCTCTACAGTGAGTCCTAAACTAGACCCCACCCCACCCTACCCTCCCAAAAGAAAGAAAAAAAAAAGACCATCCCATGCTGTGGGATGGTCTGTATGTCAAGTGTGTTGCTGATTGGTCAATAAATAAATCACTGATTGGCCAGTGGCCAGGCAGGAAGTATAGGCGGGACAAGGAGGAGAATAAAGCTGGGAAGTGGAAGGCTGAGTCAGAGTCACTGCCAGCCGCCACCAGGACAAACAGCATGTGAAGATGCCGGTAAGCCACGAACCACGTGGCAAGGTATAGATTTGTAGAAGTGGGTTAATTTAAGTTATAAGAACAGTTAGCAAGAAGCCTGCCACGGCCATACAGTTTGTAAGCAATATAAGTCTCTGTGTTTACTTGGTTGGGTCTGAGCGGCTGTGGGACTGGCAGGTGAGAGAGATTTGTCCTGACTGTGGGCCAGGCAGGAAAACTCTAGCTACATGGAAACTTCTGTTTCCTCCCTGCACAACATGAAAACACATCAACATGTATATAGGTCAGGTGCACACATGCTCCGCCATCACTGTGTCACACACAACGAGAATTTTTGGCCATCATTTTTCTTCATCATTAACTAGAGTAACATCACACCTAAATTTTCTTGGTTGTTAATATTCATTCAACATACATATATGGAACAATATGCATATCAGGTGTACAATGAAAAAGCAGACCTTAAGCACAAATAACTCAAATTATAGCAAGGGCTAGAGCACTCAATAACTAATAGCTGGCCACTAACGCTACAATTTGAGCACAAGTGCTCCAGCAAATGTAAAGTGAGACTCAAGCAGCAGGTGAGGAAGTGGTCTGCAGAGGGGTGGAGAAAGCATGGCAGCACAGTAGGATGTTCAGAGCTGACTCTGGGCCCGACTGACAGACCGACTTTCCTCTTCTGCAAAATGGGTGAGAAAGCAGTCTCTACCCCCCGGGTTCTCCCCCAGGGAGCCAATGTGTTCATGTGATGTCAAGTCTTAGAAAACACTGACACACTGTGTGAAGTCACTGTCAGGGCTCATGAGCTCAGTGACTGCCTTTGTGACTGACCAGTGAGTGCTCAGTAATGGGTACGCTAGAGTGGTTTAAGCAACATTTCCTGAATGAAAGCTAGATGAGGAAAAAGCAAACTCACCTCACTGCTATAATTTTGGCACACCAGGAAATCCTTAGAAGTGAAATGGACTCATGTCTGGGGAAATCAGACAAAGGGAAGAAGAGAACAAAAGCCCTAGCGTTTCTGCTAACCTACCTTCTGGATGATTCAATTTGATCCAAGTGCTTTTCAGGGAAATCTCTAGCACTTGGTGGTTATAAAGCTATTCATGTTTGTGGAAGATAAATGCGGACTCTGAAGTAGAAGACCTATCTCTGCTAATGCTATTGTAATCGAAACAACAGCAAGGCCTTTCTTCTCAAGTTAGAAGACTGTATTCTTTTCTCATGTATGGTTAACTATATAAACCAGTACCTGACTCAGAATTAATTTTTTTTTGAGAGTTTGCAACGCACCTCAAAGCATTACTCAACCATATTTCCCACCATGTGCAACAGAGCAGACAACTTTCAGAGCTACATTTACTTTTGTTGTTCAAAGCAGGGTGAAGGGGCAAAGTTGAGAATAACTTTTATTTCTGCTACAGTATCATGATGTTCACAGAATCCATCATCTTTTCCAGAAACAAATATTCTCTACCGAGATAACACAGAAACATTCCCAGGAAGTCAGGATCAGAAAGATAACCATGACAAAATGCTAAGAAACTAGGTTAGGACACGTTTCAGCAAGCAAGTACAATGTTCTTCAGAAAAGAATGCTATGTGCATATGTTATACAGCCATATAAATTAAGAACAGTTTTACTAGCAAAAAATCTATGCCTGTGTATTCAAATAATAATACACCATTAGGTGTATAATATGAAATTAGAGCTTGGCCATAAATGACCTTGAATTAGATGTTCTAAGTAAGGGTAGTTCTAAATTTTCCCATACTTATTAGCTACTACTTGTTATGCTGCCTTCTATCAATATAAAAAGTTGTTGTAAGTGTTCCAGAAAATTTTCAGAATAAAATGACAAAGAATAAACACTTTGGTCCTTTGGTGCAGGTTTGAGAATGCTTGCATTAGGAATGCTTAACGAAGCCAAGCTCCAGAATTCAGTTCCAGTTGTCTTCTGACCTGTTTCCCCTATGAATGATGAGTTTAAGCATAGTGCCTGGCATACAAATCATTCTAGCGTTATATGAATGAGTAGTGGGCCCTGTACCAAGACCATACAAAGTAGTTCACAAATGTGGGCTAGACGAAGAAATGGCCATGACTAAGAAGTCACTCATTCCACAAGATTTGTAGTGTAGATCACTGGTCTAGTGTGCTAAGAAAAACATGCTGTTCCATGCAAACTCAAAATACTGATGGTCAATCAATTGTATAATTACTATGTATTAAGTGATCATTGTTATATATTAAGCAACATAAGCCAGTAAACCATTTATTAAAAAGTTATTGCTCTGGGTTAAAGACTGAGCAATTACAAGGTTATTCCTTTTCTTTTAAAGCTTAAAGACTCCTTCAGCTAATCCTCTCAAACTCTTAACTCAATCACAGCTGCATTCTTGCTTTTAGAGATGGGAACAAATACTTACAATTTTCAAGTAATTAGTATCTCTCCAAACAGTGTCTTGTACCACTGATTCCTGCAACCCAAAGGCAATAAGGAAGAGTATCAGTATATACAGCTTTATTATTAATACTTTCCTGTAATCCTTAGCCTACAGACAAACAATATTAATGAACATTGGAAGACTAACATTTATTTCAGTACTAAGTGTATTTAACTACACCGTGCTTCAAGTTAATATAAGTTCTGCATCAGTTCTCTGAATCTGCTATGATGATACACCAAAGACTAGCAGTTTCATACAGTCAACAAAGACACCATGAAATGTGCTTCAGAAGAAGAACATTAGTAATCTCAAATCTCCAGGTTCCTTACAACTTCCTTTGGTCATTTCACTTTTTATCCCGTCATTAACTCTACATATCTGTAATTTGATGTCTCATTCCACTTGGAGATAACATTTTGTAGGGTGATGGGGAAAGGATGTATTTAGTTGTCAAACTGCTGTCTTCCAGACTAGGACTTGTTCAGACTTGAGAGGGTAAAAAGGCTTCTACTCTTGTGCTTTGTCAACCAGCTCTATACCAGAATATTTTCTGAGATCCCATTTCCTGAACTGAGCCTCAAACCTCCCCACAGCGTGTGCCGTCGAGCTTGTACCCAATCACAGCTTCTTTATGCGCTTTACGTGCTCTCACCTTGCACACCTCACTGTCTGTAATCACTCTCACCTTGCACACCTCACTGTCTGTAATCACTCTCACCTTGCACACCTCACTGTCCGTGTAATCACTCTCACCTTGCACACCTCACTGTGTAACCACTCTCACCTTGCACACCTCACTGTCTGTAATCACTCTCACCTTGCACACCTCACTGTCCGTGTAACCACTCTCACCTTGCACACCTCACTGTCCATGTAATCACTCTCACCCTGCACACCTGTCAGTCTGTGTAACCACTCTCAACTTGCACACCTCACTGTCCATGTAATCACTCTCACCTTGCACACCTCACTGTCTGTAATCACTCTCACCTTACACACCTCACTGTCCGTGTAATCACTCTCACCTTACACACCTCACTGTCCATGTAATCACTCTCACCTTGCACACCTCACTGTCTGTGTAATCACTCTCACCTTGCACATCTCACTGTCCGTGTAATCACTCTCACCTTGCACACCTCACTGTGTAACCACTCTCACCTTGCACACCTCACTGTCTGTAATCACTCTCACCTTGCACACCTCACTGTCCGTGTAACCACTCTCACCTTGCACACCTCACTGTCCATGTAATCACTCTCACCCTGCACACCTGTCAGTCTGTGTAACCACTCTCACCTTGCACACCTCACTGTCCATGTAATCACTCTCACCTTGCACACCTCACTGTCTGTAATCACTCTCACCTTACACACCTCACTGTCCGTGTAATCACTCTCACCTTACACACCTCACTGTCCGTGTAATCACTCTCACCTTGTACACCTCACTGTCTGTGTAATCACTCTCACCTTGCACACCTCACTGTCCGTGTAATCACTCTCACCTTGCACACCTCACTGTCCGTGTAATCACTCTCACCTTGCATACCTCACTGTCCGTGTAACCACTCTCACCTTGCACACCTGTCTGTCTGTATAATCACTCTCACCTTGCACACCTCACTGTCTGTGTAATCACTCTCACCTTGTACACCTCACTGTCCGTGTAACCACTCTCACCTTGCATACCTGTCTGTCTGTATAATCACTCTCACCTTGCACACCTCACTGTCTGTGTAATCACTCTCACCTTGCACACCTCACTGTCTGTGTAATCACTCTCACCTTGCACACCTCACTGTCCGTGTAACCACTCTCACCTTGCACACCTGTCTGTCTGTGTAATCACTCTCACCTTGCATACCTCACTGTCCGTGTAACCACTCTCACCTTGCACACCTGTCTGTCTGTGTAATCACTCTCACCTTGCACAACTCACTGTCTGTGTAATCACTCTCACCTTGCACACCTCACTGTCTGTGTAATCACTCTCACCTTGCACACCTGTATGTCTGTGTAATCACTCTCACCATGCACACCTGTCTGTCTGTGTAATCACTCTCACCATGCACACCTGTCTGTCTGTGTAATCACTCTCACCTTGCACACCTCACTGTGTAATCACTGTTTCCGCTTAACTTTCCAAATTCTCCACTTCTTAATTTAATTAAGAGCTTGGCCGCACGGTAATCTTCCAAACTTCTAAGATTTATTTTCAGTTTATGTGTATGAATGCTTTGCCTGCACGTATGTCTATGCCCACATGCACACCGTGTCTGAGAAGGCCAGAAGAGTGTCGGATCCTCTGAAACTGGAATTACAGATGGTTGTGAGCTGGCACGTGGGTGCTGGGAACCAAACCAGGCCCTCTGCAAGAGCAGCACATTCTCTAAACTGCTAAGCCAGCTCTCCAACCCTCTAACAACTTTCGGAGTCCCACCTTGTTCGTCGTTTAACTGGTATCTAGTCACCTTGCTGGGGAGACCTACCTAACCCTCCTCCTTTCTGTTCAACAGCCTTCCCCCATCCTTGGCTGCATGATGTGAACAGCACTGTTTTACTTTTTCTTTGGTAGCAGTGCGAATGCTTACACTTCCTTGTTTACATACTGTTCTTTCCCAACAGACTGATCTCGGGCCAGAGATCCTTGCTTTGTGCATTGTGTTTACTACTGGCGCACAGGAGGAACTTGCTGAGAAGGAATAAATACATAGCTGTCTATACATATCTAGCTGAGATACAGAGAAAATTATAAATCTGCTTCAGTGTAAGTTCCACTCATTTCATTTGGGATAAGTCACCACATCCTGTTCTCGGAAGCACTCAGGCTGTTTCTAGATTGAGTGCTTGTTTTCTGCTCCTTAGTGGCCTAAGGTCTCTCTACTTTTGAAAGATGAAAAACAAAAACAGAAACACTTATCTAGCAATGATGACAGAATTTTAGTTCTGGAGTGGTTACTGACCAAATCAAATGCTCTGTTCCAGGACAGCCACTTCACATCTGTCACCTGTGCCAGAATGACTTTCAGGGAAGAACATTTGGTACACAAATGCTATCCATGATATCATTTTGAACAAAAGATATTTTAAATGATATTTCCTCTGGCTTTGAAGAGAGTTCAAAGAAGGCTGATGCAGAAACAGTGGCTAAGAGCTTTAGGAACTCACAAACCCATTATAATTTTTTCAGGGACAATTCCAAGGAATCACTTCAAAAGAACATATGTCTCATAGCCACTAAATTAATTCTTGCTGTTAATACCTGCCATCCCTTCTATCTATAAGTTGGGTTTTCTTGGAAACCGCAATCATTAGTCACTGTCCCACAAGGGTTCTATGCTGTTATTTTGTTGAAGAAGAAAAGCACTGCTCCTGACCGAGACAGAAGAAAGGGAAACATTCTACAAGCCAAGGACACACTTACCCTTTAGTGTACCTGATCCTCCAAAATCAGCTTATCAATCTTAGATGAAACAGCTGCACACAAAGAAGAGAAAATCTGGGCCTACGGGAACAGGAAGTGCTCCAAATCACTACAGTGTTTCTCTGAAAACTCTATTTTAATTCATACAGAAGTAGAAAAAAATCAGTAATCATCTTAACTTAATAAAATGGTACATCAAAAGAGGCAGGCAGTAAGTTATTCAAAGAGAGTGTAAGGTTGGAGGTGTAGCTCAGTGCTAGAATGCTCGCCCATCATGTAGAAGGTCCCGGGTTCAATCACCAGCACCACTGACAAGCAAACAAAAACACAAATACACTGGCCATCTATCCTTACACTCACTGTTAGATGTGAGCCTCGAAAGAAAAATAACTACTACTTTGTGATTCGAAAGTTCAGGATAATTAAGGCTAAAAATAAAAATCACTTTACTGGGTTAGAAATCTATGAAAAAAATTAATGGATTTATTTTTTTCAGGATCCAATTCATGGCTATCATGAAATAACAAGAACCATGAACACACTATACAGTTGTCTTGAAATTTTAAAAAAAATGCATTGTTTTCTAAAATGTTTTTAAAAACGGTACTCACAATAAAACCAGACAAAACTGATCTATGTTGTTCACCCTAAAATTTGCTACCAGAATGTTCTTTTTAGTTTATGCCATATGCTATCACCCTTGGCTCAACCTGCCAATTCAGGATGTTTTCCTATCTCTAAACAGGAGTGACTTCCTCTTTAAATACTATGTAACTCAAACAGGTAGGATGAGTGAAAACTCATAAACGCCTGCGAGCTTCCTGGATTGAGGCGTTTATCACTGGTCCCATTACAGTAATTATGCAGGAGGTGGCCCGTGTGCTGATTTCGGTCAAGGTTCCCCACCTCCCATCTATGATTCCTGAACTGTTACCAAGCAAGCTTGCTTCACAATCAGAAGGGCTCACTTACAATCATAACACCATTAGGGCCCCTGGGTGACCTTCTCCAGTGAGGTCACCTAGTGTGGCAGTGTTCCAGCCAGAGCACAGCGGTGCGGGGTGGGGGAGGAGGATGGGGGGCAGCTCGGCCCGCCCGCCCGCGCCCGCCCGCGCCGGGGCCGCGTCCTCGGGAGAACCCGAGCGGCCGAGCCGGGAAAGGGGCGGCTGCGCACAGCCAATGGGACGAGCCCGCCGCCCGCTCCCGCGAGCCCACCCCTGCCCGCTGCGTGGGGACCGCCGGCAGCAGGTCGTCGTTACACAACCGGCCGCGTCAGCTGGCTGGTTCGAAAATAGCAACTTGCAGCTCGCGCCTCACACCCCCGCCCACCCGCTCGCAGCCCGCAGCTTCCCCGGCAAGGCGGCCCCACATTTCCATACTCCTCTGGGGGAATGAAAATGTCTTAACGCTTTACCAAATACCTCCTCAGCCAGTTTCCACATCCGCACATGTGGGCAAACGCTGAAAATGCCGACTCGCCGCCACTTCGCCGTTTCACAGAACACCCTCAACTACTTGCAAAAGACTCCGAAACGGGAGCGTTCCCGACCACACCTACCGACTCCTCACGGCCCGAGCATCCCGCTCGCCCACTCGGAGCAGCCTCTCGCGTCGTCTCCCTCCGCGGCCGCGGAAGTGCGTCCCGGCGAAGCCGCCCCAGTGGCTTCAGGGAGCCAGTCAGGCTCTCCCCGGGCCCTGCTCAGGAATACCTTGCCTGCGCGGAACTACAGTTCCCAGCATCCACCGGGCCGAGGGCCACAGGCCACCTCCTCCTTCCGGGTCCCGCCTCCCTCGCTTCCTCTTGCACCGTTAAGGCCAGGTTTAGGAATTGGCTTAAAATGCGGTCAGGCTGGCCTCGAACTCGTGATCCTCCTGCCTCCGCCTCCTTCAGCAAATCCTACCGGCGTGCGCCACCACAACCGGCAGTGGTGGCGCACGCCTTTAATCCCAGCACTCGGGAGGCAGAGCCAGGCGGATCTCTGTGAGTTCGAGGCCAGCCTGGTCTCCAAAGCGAGTTCCAGGAAAGGCGCAAAGCTACACAGAGAAACCCTGTCTCGAAAAACCAAAAAAAAAAAAAAAAAATGCGGTCAGGCACACGCATGGGAAACGAAATCGAGAATCGTTTGAGTACTCAATCCAATGTCCATTAGATGCAAAAGAATAACCACACAGGTTTCCAAGAGGCCCTTTGCATGTTACCTCCTGTGGTTATCTAACAATGGGCAAACGATAATTACCTCAGCAGTTTACTACGTAAAACTAGTTATTAGGTATTTAATCTAACTTGACTCTTCTCCACATCAACTATCCTATCTCGTCTTCTCTTAAATGTGAGTCCTGTGCAGGTAAATATTTCAAAGGATTCCTACACAGTATTTATCCGACTGCTTAAAAAAAAGATTGAAGAGATGTGATGCCTACGACTTCCAAATGATCCCACACACGCACAAATGGAGAAACAGAAACTGGTCAATGTTGACAGCTTTTAAAAAATTACTTATAATCGCCGGGCGGTGGTGGCGCATGCCTTTAATCCCAGCACTTGGGAGGCAGAGCCAGGTGGATCTCTGTGAGTTCGAGGCCAGCCTGGACTACCAAGCGAGTTCCAGGAGAGGCGCAAAGCTACACAGAGAAACCCTGTCTCGAAAAACCAAAAAAAAAAAAAAAAAAAAATTACTTATAATCTTTTCAGACATTCTGATTATATTCTTCCCCCTCCTCCAACTCTTCCCAGATCCTCCCCACCTCCTTACCTACCCAACTTCATGTTATTTCTCAAAAACAAAACCTGTGAGAATCAAAACAAAACCCCCAATAAAACCAAACCAAATCCTGACGAAAAGCACATAAAAACCATGGTGTCTTGTTTTGTGTTAGCCAACTATTCTTGTGGTTGCTGTCATGTGGAGAAAACTGACCTCCTCTCCCAGCAGATACCAACTGCAAAGAGCCTCTAGGTTAGGGAACAACGTTTGATTCTAAGCAAGTACAGGAATGTTTCTTATACTAGCCATTTAAATGTTCTTTAACTTCTCAGTTGCAATTTCTCAAAAAGGATGGGAAATCATCATAGTTGACACAACTGTAAAAGATCTCACCCATGTCTGTTCTACTCTGCCCTGGTGTGACCTTGGACCAATAGACCTGTGGTACCTTAAGGTCTCCATCTGTAGAACAGTGTGTTTACACCAGGAAATCAGGAGAATTAAATTAATTTAATCCTCATATGCAATACATAGAAAAGTACAACAGTATCTGACACACAAGGACTTGGCTATTAAGTTTCCATTTTGTGTTGCTATAGTAACAACTGGCCTGTAACTCAAAGAGGAGAAAATCACAAGTCTGTCCAAGACCAGAAACCATGCAGTCTCCAAGCAGAGCTGGAGGAAATTGGTCTCCAGTGCACAAGTCTTATCACCCCATTCCTGGTTCTGGCCCCAGCTTCTCTGCCTCCTGGGTGTGGATGAGGTGCCTCATGACCCCTCTCCTCCCACGCCTGCGCCACCATGATGGGCTGGACCTCTCAAATAGGAGCCAGAGTCAACCCTTCCTATGTTCCCTTTTGTCAGTGTGTCACCATGATGAGAAAGGTGACACAACCAATCCTCTGTCTTCAGAATCAGCAATGGCTGGCCAAGGCTTTCTCACACCTCACCGTTCTGAAACTTCTTCCTTCTTAATATCCTGTGATGACTTGGGCACACCTGTAAGATGTCACAATTCTATGGACCTGATTAGCAATTTTAATTTCACCCCAAACCTAACCCCCCCACATACACACCTTGCCATGTCACATGACATGTTCAGATTCTGGAGAAGAGGATGTGGTTACCTTTAGGAAATATTCTGCCTATCATATTCTTAACAACCTCTTCCATACCAAATTCAAAAATCTGTTTTTTGAGTTTTCTCTTTTTTCTTTCCCCACTTTTTTTTTTTTTTTTTTTTTTTTCCGAGACAGGGTGTCTCTGTGTAGTTTTGCGCCTTTCCTGGAACTCACTTTGGAGACCAGGCTGGCCTTGAACTCACAGAGATCCGCCTGCCTCTGCCTCCCGAGTGCTGGGATTAAAGGCGTGAGCCACCACTGCCCGGCTCTTTCCCCACTTTTTAAAAACTCCTTTTCCTTGGACTTGACAATGCTGCCATTCCTGTTTCCAATTTCTCTGGTTAGTTCCTCGCCAACCTTTTGCTTTCATTTTCTCCCCCAATCTCTATAGAATTGGCAGCAGGCTGGTCCTCCTCTCCCCCTCTGTCAATACACTTTCTTGTGTGTGTGTGGGGGGGACCAACCTATTTTCTCACATCGTTGGCCCAGACCTGCTGTCACTTCAGTATATAATCACCATACATGTGTCTGACTGCCAGGGCTTCACTTCCACCACTGGCCAATACCAATGAACTGCACCCGCTGTGGTATTCACCAAGTCTTTACCACGTGAGTTTCACTTTATTACCCGTTTTCATTGATGTATTTTCCACACTTTACTTAAATTAGGAACCACATCTTGTTTCCTCCTTTACTGAACAAAGAAAGCAAGGGAAGACAGTTCTGAGTAAGTTAAACAGACAACACTTTACAGCTCTAAAGCACCTAAGTGTGGTGGCACATGCCTATAGCTACTTGTCTGAGGAAGGAGGATCATTTTAGCCCAGGAATTCAAAAGCCTCCCTGAGCAGTGTAGAGTGTCAATCTAAAACAAAACAAAACACAGCACAGGAAAAGAGAAAAGTTTCTTTTGATGCATGTTCAAAAACTGTTAAGAATCCATAGTATAGTCCATAATAGGAAGTATGGCAGCACATTTCATTTTATGTAGGTACGGTATCGGGGATTGAACCTATGGCCTCACGCATGCTAAGCACTCTGCCACTGACTGATATCCCCAGCCTTAAAAAGCAAAGCACAACTGCATTCATTCATTTTTCAGTCAGGATTCTATGTAGCCCAGGCTGGCCTTGTCTTATCCTTCCTGCCAAGTGGCTGGGGTTACAGAGATACGCTACCATCCTGCAGCACACTTCTACTCTGTAATGAAGACACCTGAGGAGAGGAAGGACGGGATGATACAGAGGAAAGTGTCTAGACGTGAGGCAATGAAGGATCTGCCTGTACCTGTTTTCCAGTTTTTAAACCTTTCAGTGTAACCATGACGACTACCACTATTACCTCCTGCCCCAGTTTTTAAAAGACTTTTGCCTTAAACTTTTGAAGGAATACATTACAAATTTGGAATTATAACATGAATGGTTCTTTGAAACAGATTAGCTTTTGTGGTCTAGTTTTATAGAAAAATCCATCTATATTAATCATACAGTTCTTACTATTGTTCTTGATGCCAAATGGTACCACTTCCGGGAAAGATTTGTTTTGAAACTGAGGTTCAATTATTATATAGTACTCTTGTTTCCCCCCTTACAATGCAGCTGACTAGGGGCTTTAGTTATTTTATTTAATCATGTTTCAAATCCTTTTAGTAAGAGCTTTGACTCAACATCTGTCCTTGATTTCAAACAGTCTCCATATCCTGTAATTTGTAGCAAACCATATACAAATAGAAATAAATGTACATTTTAGCTGTATAATTATGTGGTTTTGCTTAATATAATAAAATTATACCAGTCTTTTCAAGACTTTATATAGAAATAATATCAAAATTATGTTTGATAACCAATAAAAAAATAAAGTTAGAAAACACTGGCAATTTCAAAAAGACACATTGGTATATGAGGTCCTGAACAAAGGAAGCTTTTGTCCTTTGCTTTCAACTTTGAACACACTCAGAGTTTAAAAAACAAATGGGAAAAAATACTTTGTCACATATTGCTTCAAAATTAGTTACAATATAAACCACATATCCTGTTCTTCAAATTCCAAGTATTTCAAAGGTCATGATTCAGACAGCAGCTATGCTTCACATAGCTTGTATCTGGGCATCCCAGTCTTAGTTTCTACTTAAGATACTTTAATGATGTGTACAAAGAGGATAACTTCCTCTACAGTCTTCCAAGTATCTGGTAACTACTAATTAATAAACTGTCACATGGTGAAAACATTTAAAAATTATAATTTGCCCCAAATGAGTGGGTGGGTATGGTCAGAAATAGTACCTAAATTACCCCTCCTTTTCATACTGATCATAGCCAACAGAGGTAATGAAATGACCTTACTTGTTTCTCCTAAGTTATCCACAGGGAATTTCCAATATTTAAAATTATCTTTCTTCTATGCCCTTTTCCATTTCCATAGCCTGCTTTCTATTCTCCTTCAACTAGTTAACAACACCCATGGGAAGATGAAAATGAAACCACTGGTTGATATGCTCCCTACCTGCCAAGTTCTAATCAGAAAATAATAAGAAATCAAAAATATAATATACATCCCTCACAAAGGACAAAATCAGATCAACCACAGACTCTTGACTTCACCCCACGAAGCTGTCCTCGACCCTACCTGTCAGTCAGAAAACAGCTGAAGGGCACTGATGGGCTAGATGGAAACAAACTCAGCCGCGATCATGTAAGCTCACCAGGGTAAACTCCTCAGCCTGACTTCTGTGCTGTGAAGCAGGCCATGCCAGCTCCCTGCAGCTTCTGCTGTGCAGTACAAGCAGGGCCTGTTTGTTCTCTGTAGCCCTGCACATGCAGCACCCTGCACAGGACTCAAGAGATACTCGTGTAATGAAGAAAAAGGGACACAAGGACTAGTCCAGGCACTAGAATGAGAAGTAAGCATAGGGAACAGAAACTAGAATCAAATTGAAATAATATTTATAAAAGTACCCACATTATTAAAGTCAGAAAAAATTTAAGTCCAGTCAATATACTATTAAAAAAACAACACTATTTCTTAGAAGGGGTCAATTATCACAATTGTTACTAAGCTACACACTAAATTATCAATTTTTAACAAATAAAATACATTATTAAAGAAAGGGGCTGGAGAGGTGGCTCAGCACTGGCTCCTCTTGCAGAGCACCTGGGTCTGATTTCCAACACCCACAAGATGGCTCACAACTGTAGGTAATACCAGTTCCAGGGTATTCAACACCCTCTTCTGGACTCTACAGGCACTACACTCATATGGCACACAGACTTGGCTGCAGGCAAGCACCAGTACACACAAAATAATAAAATTAAACGTATTATGAAAGAACAACATTTTTGAGACATGGTCCCACTATGAAGTCCAGACTAGCCTAGAACTTGCTAAGTTGCCCAGGAGGTCTTCAACACAAAATGGCTAAAGGCCCGCACTACCATGGACCATCATGCTTGGCCCAGGAATATTTTAAAGCTCATTAACTGTCTGCTACTTTGTAAAAAGAAAGAAAAAGAGCAAAAATTTCCATAAAAACATAAGCTAATTCCAGTGCTTCCTCTGGGAAAGACTGAAGTGTCTTAGCAAACAGAAATGTCTTTGCCTCATACTCCTGTATACTGCTTGAATTTTTTTTTTTTACAATTTTTTTAAAGTGAATGTTTACATTTTATAACAAATTTCACCTAAAGGAAAAATCTCTACTTGTAAGTATTGTTTAAATACTTTAAGTAGGAATTAAGAAAATGCATCTTCCTGGAAGGTAGGCTTACCCATCAATTACATGAATCATTTACTCTTCCTAGAAACTCAAATGGCGAACATATGCTACCTAATTTGAAAAATAATGTAATAAAGAGGGGGTAGTTGTGAGAAACTTTAAAATCTAAGTAATTTAGTCAGTGAGGTCTCCTATTTCCTGAACTGTCCCCTTTGACCCGAATAGCCATTAGTCAGACCATGAGGTTGAGTTCCCACCAATGGGATGAGACCCAGTCATCACCCACAACAGGGATAAAATATAGGAGCCGTGTTGGTCTCAGTGTGCATGCTAGCCCAGTTTCGGTCTTGTGGATGTTTTTTGCAAAAAGAAATTGCTTTGCTGAGCTAACACCAGAGGAGGAAGAGGAAAATTTCTCTTCCTGAGTGATGGCACATATATCAGGAAACTACTCATAAAGACTATCTTAAAAACATGGGCTGGAGCCGGGCGGTGGTGGCGCACGCCTTTAATCCCAGCACTCGGGAGGCAGAGCCAGGCGGATCTCTGTGAGTTCGAGGCCAGCCTGGTCTCCAAAGCGAGTTCCAGGAAAGGCGCAAAGCTATACAGAGAAACCCTGTCTCGAAAAACCATTAAAAAAAAAAAAAAAAATGGGCTGGGCGGTGGTGGCACACGCCTTTAATCCCAGCACTCGGGAAGCAGAGGCAGGCAGATCTTTGTGAGTTCAAGGCCAGCCTGGTCTACAGAGCGAGATCCAGGAAAGCTGCAAAGCTACACGGAGAAACCCCGTCTTGAAAAACCAAAAAAAAACCATGGAAAAAATTTTAAATTAATGTAACTGCAATATCATTTTTACTTGACACATAAAAACTATACATGCATCTTTATCATACAAAGCATGTTTTGAATTACAGAATCAAGCTAATTTAAAATAAATTTTCTCAGATTTTCTTTGTGGTCAGAACAGTTAAAACCTATTTTCTTATAAATTTTCAAAATATGATACATTGTTCTAACTATAAACCACCAGCTACACAACAGATCTGCAAAGCGTAGCTGAAACTTTGTATCTTTTGAGCAACATCTCTTAACCTTCTATTTCCTGCTCCTTAATAGTCATGACTTTTCAAGATTCCTACCTGTTCAATTTGTTTTTTAAAGATTCCACATGTGAGATTACGTGATATTTGTCTTGCTGGGCCTGCCAGCTTCTTTGAACATAATGCATTCCAGGCTCATCTGAGTCTTAAATAACATGATCTCCTTCTTCGTTAGAACCCAATGGTATTCCAGCACTACATTACACTAGATTTTAACGCTGTCCTTTTTGGAAAGAGAAACAGCACACTTTGGTGTGGCTCACTCTAGGATGCTGCACTGGAAATCTGCAAATTAAGCAACTGTCTCCTATGAAATGCATCGCTGTCTTTGCTGTCCTGCTCGTCCAGTGACTTTCTTATACAGCTCTTCAACTCTTCAATCCCTTCCCCAGTAACTGCTGAGATGGGGATGATATGTTGGAACTCCACAGCCTTCTCTGGAAGCATGTTTTTTTCAAATAAATGCAGGAAACCTGAAACAAAGAATAGGTGGTTTTTATGCCTTTTTGAAAAGTAAATCAACACTGCGGAGAGGTTTGACTGGAGAAGCAAGGAGCTGACAACTTAGCACCAGGACTCCTCCCCTGCGCCGCCCTGTCTCACCAGCTCTCGGGGTCTTTGTTTCATACTGACAATGGTGGTTCTTAGTACATGGTAAGCACTTGGTAAGGAACTGTAGGAGAAATTGATTTTAAACCACATGAACAATAAATATTAGATAAATCATGACAACACTTAAAGGAATAATAAGATGTGCTTGAGGAGGCTGAATGAAATGAGGCAATATAAATACCCTGAAAGGAAGCTTCCATAAAAACAATGACATCATTTGGAACATTCTGGCTTGTCTCAGTACAAACATAAGCTTTAACTTCCCTCAGGTACAGGCTTCTCACTATTTAAATGGAGACCAGGATCCACATTTGAAAATGAAGCATAAGGCCGAATGGTCCAAGGGCAGAATACTTGAGTCCAGTCAATCACTTAGGGGCTACCAGAGCTGCATGACTTTATCTTCTCCCTAACATCATGGCTGTGGGGTGTGAGGTGAAAGGGGACAGCAAACTGACTGGATGGCCAACTGTCATATAAACTAAAACGGGTAGATTGAAATTATCATGGAGCCTGACTTCTCAGAGTTAGATACCCCCAAGAAAGTCCAGAGAGGCAAACTCAAGAGCTGCAGTGGTCCAGAGTACACAGACTCTTGAGTGACCCTCATTTTTAGTACCACCAACTGCAAAGAGAACTACTGACCCGATAGAGCGAGTGTTATTAAGGAATGAAGACTATTACGGAGTATTTATGTCCCAGGACTAATTTACTAACTCAGGAACAGTTCTAACATGTATATCATGTAGGGGAATGATTTTCAAGAGAAGAAAAATGACCTTAGTGCTGTCTGCTAATCCTAGTATATTAAAGTCTGTTTTCCCAATTATCATCACTCCAGTAATAGAAAGGAGAGAAATCAGTATTCTTCAAAGCAGATGGCCACTTGCCATTTGTAGATGAGGCCTTCTCCTAGACCCTGAAGTTGAAACTATCATCACCACAGGATAACAGTGTTTTACAACAGTCAGTTTTCCAAACTGTGGAGAGTCTCTGTGGTGGTTTGAATAAGAATGACCCCTGTAGGCTCATACATTTGAATGTTTAGTCACCACAAGTGGAAGTCTTTGCTAGGATTAGAAGGATTAGGAGGTGTGGCCTTGTTGGAGGAAGTACATCAATGGGGGTAGGCTTGGCATTTCAAAAAGCCCACATAGGGCCCAGTGTTTGTCTGTCTCTGTCTGTCTTTCTGCCTGTGGATCAGGATGTACCTCTCAGATACTGCTCTAGTGCCACACCCCTCCCCCATGATGATAATGGACTAAGCCTCTGAAACTGTAATCAAGGCCCCAGTTAAATGCTTTCCTTTGTAAGAGTTGCCTTGGTCATGGTGTCTCTTCATAGCAACGGAACAGTAACTAAAACAGTCCTTTTAAGTTTTTTATATAGTGGAAATATTTCCATTTAAGAAATTACAGACAAATCCTTTAGTCACAGGATTTATTTTCTATGTCACATAAACACAGGACTAAATGTTCTTTTCTAAAAACTAGTATTCTTCAGAGTTACTAAATTTACGTTAATAAAACCAAAAAACCTCTTAAAACTACCAGCTCTTGGGCTGGAGAGATGGCTCAGCAGTCAAGGGTACTGGCTGCTCTTCCAGAGGACCCAGGTTCAGTTCTAGCACGGTAAGTAACAACTGTGTATAACTCCAGTCCCAGACCTGATGCCTTCCGCCAAGCATGCACACGGTACACAGACATACACACAGATAAAACAGCCACACATATATAAAATCTCAAAACACAAGTAAACCCTACTAGGTTTGTTAAAGTACAGTGTGCACTCGTGAGATGATAAAACTGCTAATGCTTCAGAGGTAGTTGCTGACTTTTTCTCCTTTTACCACATTTCCTGTGTTTTGGTTTTGTTTCCTTTTTTTTTAAGGTTTATTTTATTTTTAGCTGGTCACGATGATACACAGCTTTAATCCCAGCACTCAGGAGGCAGAGGTAGGTGGATCTGTGAGTTTAAAGCCAACCAGGTCTACACAGATTTCTAGGCCAGTCAGCTATATTACAAAACCCTGTCTAAAAATAAGAAAAGAAAAAAAAAACTCAAGAAACAAACAAACAAAAGATTTATTTTATCTCTAATTAAGTACATGAATGGATGTCTGGGTGTGTAGATGTATGGGTGAGCACAAGAGGCATCAAACCCTCATCAAGCTGGAGTTCCAGGTAGTTATGAGGCCCCTGACATAGATGCTGGAAACCAAACTCTGGTCCTCCACAAGAACGGCATAGGCTCTCAATGGTTGAGGCATCTCTAGGCCCTCTCTTGCACCCGTTAAAGCTCCGCATAAATTTTAATTCTTTATAAAGTCTAACCTTTTTGGACCAAAGTAATCTTTCTTTTCTTGCTCTAACGTAACTGTATCACTCATGTTGAGACTTGATAATGACTGGTCAGTGCTATTTCAGTGCTTATACATTTTATGTTCTTTCTTCAAATGTAGTTTCTCAGAGTAGAAATGACTGGCTTTCTTTCCCGTTGATTTTTGCTGTCATTGGTCATGGTAGTACAGACCTATAATCCCAGTACCTGGGAGGTGGAGGCAGGAATTCAAGGTGGTAAATTTGAAGCCAGCCTGAGCTACAGGAGACGCTGTCTCAAAAACTTAAGCCCTCCACCAAAGAACAAAAGTGCAAAGGCCCGAGAGACATTCTCTGCATACAGTTAGTACTGGGGGACAGGAGAGTTCATGAGCTATACCTGCAGGGTTCTGGAGCTGCTCCATCAGTTCGTCCAGTTTAACCTGGGCGTCGGGCAAGTCCATCTTATTAATTGCCAAGAGTGCAGGTTTTGTCTGCAGTTCCTCTTTGTACAACTCCAACTCCTTTAAATGAAAAGAAAAACCAAAGAATTTTTTTAACAGTATATATATAAATGAAGGTTATGGTGATATTTCTTTAATGACCTGGGTAACCTATAGCTCATTCATATCACCACAAAGCAATAAATCCCAATAACTATAAAACAAAGGAAATTCAGAAAATGCTACTTGCTAAACCATGTGAATAAGATGTTAGCTCACATGACTTTCCACAAGCAGCTGATTTTGTGTCTCGAGTCAAATGCAAGTAACTAGACTCAAGAGAGAAAAGACTTAGGCCAATAATAACAATTTAATACTGTGGCATTCTTAGAAAAGGTGTATGTACTTAGGAGTAAATTTCATAAAGTTGTGGGGGTGGTTAAAGAACTAAAAGAAAAAAGATTGTTTTTTGTTTTGTTTTGTTTTTTGCCTCTTACTTTGAGTAAGTAAGTAGTATGCCTAGTAAGTATCCAGTCTAAAGCATAAACAAAAGATCTGGCTATCAGTTACAGATTTGGCAGTCAAGGGTACATTCATTGTAAGCAATGAGAAATAATGACAGTAGGTAAGATTACAAAACAACTCTCAATAATCTTGCCTAAATGGTAAGACATGTGCTGGGATTAGAGCTTAATGGTGGAATGCTTGTGTAACATTCATGGTTTGATCATTACCTCCAAAAAAAGAAGAAAAACAAAAAGTGAGGAGAGTTTTTAAGTGGAGAATGTTTCAAGAAGACAGACACTAGAGCAGAAGCAAGATAAGATGTGAGGGATATGGAGCTTGAGAGGGTGTTACCCATGGAATAATGAGGAATGTATGAATACTGAAGAAATGGAAACGGCAACTTTGATTCTTTAACTGAATACAATCTTTTAAAAGGTGGTTATTCTGGTTACTATACATGGGAAACTAGCTCCAGAACACAGCAAATAAAAAAACTTACTTTTGTAAGAAGTATTATAGTTTCAAAGGCAGTTCTGTATGGAGTTACAGAAGAAAGCTGAAATCCAGAAATATCAACCTAAAAGGAGAGAAGAGAAAACCCAGAACATAAAATGGTTACTCAGGTCTATGCTTAGCAACGTCTTCTCTCTCAATAATTTCAACAAAGAATAATTTCTCAATCTATATTTTACTGGCAATTGAGTCATTAAGTGCAAGGACAGAAACTGAGTTGTCATGCGAACTATAAGCATCACTAAAGCATCACCCACTAAGAACAAAAGAGATACTATAGAAGAGTGTGCTAAAATCTCAAGGAATCAAATCTTGGTAAGTATGGCCAAATGTGCATACAATATTTCCATGCCCATATTATAAACAAATATTACCTACTGATTTGTCCCCCATTGAAACAGACTTACTGGAGTGATATTTACTAGTACAGTCATGTACCATTTAATACCAGGGCTGCATTCTGAAAACACGTCCAATAACTTCATCACTATGTGAATTTATGGAGTGTGAACACACATCTAAGATGGCTGTGATGTCACCAGGTTGTAAAAGCCTCTGATGCCCATAAGATACATAACAGACCATCAATAATGAAAACAGGGTTTTGTGGCACATTATCTTTAATCTTTCTTACAAAGTACTTCTAGGAAAACCAAGTTAATTTATTTGAACCTCACACTGGTATGTATGACTTACAACAAAAAGCAGTTGTCTGGTTCTCTCTAAATGCTTGAGGAATTTGTGGCCCATTCCTTTGTTCATATGTGCTCCTTCTATCAAACCTGGGAGATCAGCTACTGAAATCTAATACAAAAGTAATGATTTGAGGAGAAAGAAAAATAGATGAAAACCAAGTTCAATTATTCCCAAATTTTCATATTTCATATATAGTTTCTAATTAATCACTCTATGACATCTTTGAAATAAACATGTTAAAATGGTTTATCAGATATTTGGGTCCCATTTTTAACTCATTACTCTATCAACCTATACATATTGTGGGCTTAGTTTAATATGTATTACTTTAACAGTTATTAATAAGGTAAGTTTGTAATTTTCTTTTCACAAATAATTAATTCTTGTATGCATATGTTTTAATGTGTCTTTTGGTTTCTTTCACTGAGGAATATGTACTCAAGATCTTCTAAATCTTTTCACGGCCTCATAATTAATTTTTAGAACTGACTATTCCATTCTACAGATGTAACAGTTTATCCATTCATATACTGAGAGATTCTTGATCATTTCCAAGTTCTAGTAATTATGAATAAAGCTTCTCTGTGGATAGGAAGAAGCTCTATAGTTCTTTCTTATGAAGAATGCAAAGCAAACCTCAATGAAACCTTTTCCCAGAACCAGAAAGTTGGAACGAAACAGTTCCCATGGAAGCACTATCATTTCTATAGAAGAGCTTTCAGGAACTGGAGATTAACAATTCACTGGGGTAGTAAAACATGGGCATGACAAGATAAGACAAGATACAGATTAGGGACGACATAATTCTATAGGGATGACATGAATGTAACATTTGGAAGAACAAGAATTAAATTCATGTTTTACTATAATAATGCTGAACAGAATAATGCTGAATAGTTTTACTTATCATAAACAACAACAATCTGTCTTTTCCTCCAAGACCAAGCTGGAGAGATGGCTCAGTGGCTAAGAGCATATACTGTTCTTGCAGAGGATCCAAGTTCAATTCCCAGCACCCAAATCATGCAGCTCACAACTGCCTGTAGTACCACCTCCAGTGACTCTGATACCCATTTGACCTTATATAAACACATACTTAAATAAATAACAATAATATATATTTTTTAAAAGTCATACTACCAAAAAAATGGTAACTTCTAAGCATGTGTTATGTTTTGCTTTAAAAACACCAACCTGTTTGAAATCATTGTACATAATCTTTCCAAGTTCAGGCTTTAGTGTTGTAACTGAAGGAAAAAGGACAGTACAATAAGGAAAGAATAAAAGACTAATTCTCTAGAAAAATGGCAACATTGTATATAGAATGAATAGTATCTACCTTCTGAATATCTAGTCCCATTTTAATGTGTTAAAATGGAAACTACAGTTATCTCTGTTGTTCACACTGTACTTTAAAAGACAGAGAGACTTCTGTGCTCTGGCCTCAAGTGCTGTTGCATGGCCAGGAGCAGCTTGAGAACGTTTAGGGGCTCAGAATTTAGGTTCTGATCACAATCACTGATTCTGCAGTACAAATTTTCTTTCCTTTCTCCTTAAAAAGTCATTGCCTTTATGTATGTATTTACTTGGGGGAGGGGCTTGTGCATGGAATGGTATGGAACGGTCAGAGAACCTACAGGACTCGCTTCTCTCCTCCCACCAGATGTAGTAACACTCAGGGTTTGGTGGCAAGTACCTTTGCCCACTAAGCCACCTCACAGGGCTGAGTGAAGTTCCTCTAGTCTGTTCTCACTTGAGCTGTTCTCATGCCTTGTTGTTTTACACTAGCCCTCTCCTAGGACGTTTTTGTCTTTCCTTCTGTTGTGGTGAATCTGGCTTGTCAACTTGACAACCCCGAGGAAGGGAACTCTCAACTGAAGAGTTACTGGCCTGTAGGCATGTCTATGTGAGACATATATATATATAAACATAATTTTTAAACTGCTGACTGATGGCGAAGGGCCCAGTCTACTGTGGGCAGTGCACCTGAAAAGGTGGTCCTCGGTTATATAAGAAGGGCAGCTGCACAAGCCAGAGCAGCAAGCCAGTAAGCAGCATTCGTCTGTGGTCTCTGCTTCAAGCTCCCGCCCTGAGGTCTGCCTTGGCTTCCCTTGGTGACGGGTTATAACCTGTGAGCCACACAAATCCTTTCCTTCCCAAGCTGATTTGGTCAGGGTGTGCATCACAGGAAGAGAAGGCAAACTAGAATCCCTCCACTGTTCGTCTAAGGAGTCTCATGTGTTTGAATGGCTAAATATTACTTTCCAGATTAATGCCATTCTGTGCTTTTTTGTTTAATAACGGCAAATAGTCTATCAGATTCACTCAATACCTTTAACCTACTCTTTTACTGTATCTCATCTATCTACTGAACAAGCATATTAATTAGATTCATTAATGCTTTATGCCAATCAATTTCTATATTATAGGCTAAGAAAACTTTTGGAAAGTCTATTTTATCCATTGCACAAAGTCTTCCAAATACTCTTATGACATTTAATAAGATAAAAAACAACCCGCATAGTCTGTGCAATTTGATCTGATTTGAATCTCATTTCTCTCTGTCTCTTACTTCATTTTCTCTAGATAAACTTCCTTGTAACTACTAAGCTGTGTACAGGCTGTTTTAATGACTTAAAGACCCTTCACCTCTATTCTAAGGCACTGATTAATCAAATTATTATTCATATCTCAGCCAAGCACATTCTATCAAGGTCTACACTTACTTACACTTTTTAACAAAACGCTTTCATTCCCTTATATTTATCATTGAAATGTATACATTCCTTTCTCCTTTAGTATAAGTACAATTATAAGTCTAAGTATAAATAAAATTGCTGGTTTTGCTCATCAGTTTTTCTAGCAGTATAACCTAATATGGTTCCTAGAAATAAATCCTCATAAAATTAATAAAAATATTCATCTCTGTTTCCTAGTATTTATCACAGTGTGGAACAAGAGCTAAGTAGCTTATAAAATCCTATGTAAAGCAAATAGTGATTGTGCAACAGAGAAATAAATGCAGCAAAGTTCCTAACAAGGACAGGAAACTTTTGTGAGGACTGTTGTGGTCTGAAAGAATAAAAAGAAATGCATGGAATCTAACTGCTGAAAGCTTTCAAACTAAAGCTAACCTCAGAGTTTTATTATTCTTATGCAAAGAAAATTTACCCTCACATATTAAAATACACCAATTATACTTACATGCATAATCTGCAATCACAGGCTTTGCATGGGAAACCCGACTTAGTAAAGAGGATTTTCCAGCATTTGGGAATCTGAAATAATATGTCACATATATACATTATATGCGTTATAACAATATAATGCATATATCCATTATAACAAATACCAGAATTACTAATCGTTCCACATTTCTGAATTCCCAATATTTCAAATGTTTACAGCTTTAGTTGGGGGCGTGAACCTGGAGAATGGGGTCTAAAAATGAGATGGACTAAAGTCTCATGCAATAGTCAGCTTTATTCAAAATATCAGGCAATTTATACTCTGAGAGATGAGAAGAATCACTTGAGTGTCCAGTCACAAGGACAAGCCACAAGTGGTAAAGACAGGTTTTCCCATAGAGGCATATGAATAATAACAGCTGAACCTGGGAGGAACAGGAAAACACATTCCAAGAACAATTATGTGTTTTGAAGAAACTGAGATCACAAGACTCTTGTCTTGTTTTCTTGGAGTTTTCTCACAAGCACTCAGAATTCTCACACAACTCCATTCTTGGACTGTGCTCCAACATCAAGAAATAGATTTCCTACCAAGTGGTGGTGGCACACACCTTTAATCCCAGCACTCAGGAGGCAGGCGAATCTCTGAGTTCAAGATCAGCATGGTCTACAGAGCTAGTTCCAAGACACCAGAACTACATAGAGAAACCCTGTCTCAAAGAGCATCCCTCAAAAGAAGTAGATTTCTTGAATATTTCTGGAATTAAGATTAGAATATCAGGGGTACAGCTCAGTAGTAGAATCAGTACTTTGCATTCAAGAGGCCTAGGATTTGTCATCTTTTCTTCACAAGATTGTAAGTCCAAAATAATATTGGAAAACTTGAGAAAATATACTTATGAATAAAGATACGAATTTGAGAATTAAGAGAGTGAAGTGCCTGTTTTTTTCTTTACTTATGTAAATAAAATAAATAATTCAGGGCTGGAGAGAATGGCTGAGGGCTTAGGAAGAGTTTACACTGCTTCTACAGAGAAAATGAGTTTGGTACTCAGCATCCCTCCTGGGCAGCCCACTAGTGCTTACATGTGATCCAGCTTCCAAAGGACCTGGCACCTCACACCCCCACATGTACTGGACTCACATGCAGACACAACTGCATACACACAATTACAAACGAGTTCTTAAAGCTCAAAACCTTGTAATTCACTCTCTCTCTTTTTAATTAATTCGTCTTCCTGTATATGGGTGTTCTGCTTGTATGTCTATATGCCACATGTGTGTCTTGTGTCTGCTGAAGCCAGAATAGGGAGATGGAGCCCCTGGGAGTTACAGAGAGTTGTGTATTGCCATGTGGATGCTGGAAATTGAACTGGGGTCCTCTGAAAAAACTGTCAATGCTCCTACCCGCTGACCCAGCTCTTTAGCCCCACAATTCACTATCTTTAGCCAAACATTGACATTATTTAATTTTTTTTAGATTATGAACATTTTCAAACACAGATAAAAATACAGAATTAATAGAGTAATCACCTAGCTTCAATTAATATTAATACATTATCAATACAATATTTATTTTTAAAAAAATTTTGAGATAACACAATTAAAACCTTTCTTCCTTGCCTTTCCTCCCTCCAAAGTGTCCCATATACTCCTCCCCACTCTCCTTCAAATTCGTAACCTCTTCTGTCATTAACTGCATGCATGTGTGTATGTATCCACACACACATATTCCCAAATGTAACCTGCTCAGTCCATACATTGTCACTCGTATGTGTTTTCATACACACAGCAGTTAGCTACATTCCTGGTACTGGCAATGATATCCCTTATTGAGTGTGTCTTAAATCCAATCGGAGAGCTGTTGCTTACTGCCAATGTACGCATGACACTGCTGCATCTTTAGGGTTATGTGCCATGCTGGTTATTGATATGGCTCACAGGCACCACAGCTGGGTAGAACTGGGTTGCCTTCCTCTTTTGGAAGCTTGCACGGTGCTTTCTGATTGCATGAAAGCTAGTTCTCAGAGAGGAGGCATTCAGGTCAGTTGCAGCTCAGGGATCTCCAATTTTTAAAATCTGGTTGTTTGGCTACAAATCCAAATAAAGCCTTGGCATCATAATTAGCTTGAGTGTCTCTGAAATCTCTTTTTCATATAAGCTTCCCTTCCATTTTGCTTCTCTTTTGCAATTTATCTTATTTTTTTAATATTTCTCTTTTTTTTAAGACTTATTTATAATGTTATGTATACAGTGTTCTAACTGCATGTCAGAAGAGGGCACCAGATCTCATTACAGATGGTTGTGAGCCACCGTGTGCTTGCTGGGAATTGAACTCAGGACCTCTGGAAGAACAGCCAGTGCTCTTAACCTCTGAGCCATCTCTCCAGCCCCTGCAGTTTATTTTTAAAGAAACTGGGTCATTGGTCCTATAGAGCTTCTTTTCTACAGTTTAGAATTTTCTGCTGCCATGCACACAGCATCATTTAATATACTCCTTTGCCCTGGATTCTATAAGCTTTGTTCCCCTAGAGAACCCTGACTAATTCAGGATGCCTTGAATTTTCTTTTTTGGAAGAATATTTCATAGTTGACTGACCTGATTTTAAACTGTATGACATTAAGAACAACTTGGTTAATATACAACTTACCCAGCCAACTTTCTAGTGACAAACATTTATATTGCTTCTAATTTTTGCAATTATAAATAACTGTAAAAATATGTATGTAACAGCCATCAAGAGGCCATCGAGATGGCTCAGTGGGTAAAGTCTGACTTCTATTTGATCCCTGGGATTTACACATGTGCTGTGGCAACTGCATGCCCATTCATATATACACAACACAAATAAATCTAATAAAAATGTGTATACAACTGGAGAGATATATATTACTAACTGATATTTTGGAATGGTAGGATTAATAACTAAATTGTTCTTTTATTTTCTTTCTGCAAAAAATTTAGATATTTGTCTTACTTTTTTCTAAAACTTTTAAGCAAGGGGCTGGAAAAATGGCACAGTGGTCAAGAGCATAGGCTGCTCTTCCAGAGGACCTGGGTTCAATTCTCAGCAACCACACATGCCTTCTTCTGGTCTCTGAGGATATCAAGCACACAAGTGGTACACAGATATACATGAAGGCAAAACACCCATACATATAAAATAAAATAAAAATTAAACAATATGATGATTATCTTAAATCTTTTTATCTTTAATTTGTTATTGTAATAAATGTCTACATGAGTAAATATGAGTTTAAAATATATGATCACTTTAAAGGTTTTTGACTTTACTGCTAAATTTCCCTTATGGATCCACCTTGTATTAAGTATTAAATATAAGCATTAAGCAAAAGAATTAAAATAAGGGTCACTTAAAAAATTTTCCTCAAGACCCATCCTATCTGCTATCACCCACAGGTCCCTTCTGTGATTTATCTAACCTCTCTACCCAGCCAGACCTCCCACTTCCTTCTCCAGGGTCCAACCTGGTAAGTCTCCCTGACTTCCTTATTCATGCCTTCTCCCCAACCAGGCTGACAGCCTGGGTCACATATCCAGTGCTAACATACAAATTACATAAACTAGGAATATTCACTGCCCCAATTATTATCTACATTAATTTTTTAGTCTTGGTCTGCTTGAATGTATTATAAGAATATAAATGATACTTACCCTACTAAGCCTACATCAGCTATAACTTTTAGGTCAAGGTGAATTATTCGCTTCTGGCCTTTCAAAGGTAAGAAATTTGTATGTAATTTACCACCAAGGCCACCTTTAGCAACCAGAATTCTATCTTCTTCTTTATTGAGTTCTCCTTTAAAAGGAGAGAAAGACAACAAACATTAATAAATAAAGCCAATAATATGCTATGTTTTTTTTTTCACAAATACATGCCAAGAAGTTCCAATTTAGAAATCTAAAGGGCTAAACTTAAGATTTAATTTCTTTAAAAAAATGTAACACTTTTAAAAGCAGCTCCCTAGGGCTGGCAGCTCAGAAGCAAAGTGTCTGTCGACCATGACAAAAGGCAAATAAACACTGACCCAGAACAGCATTTTTGTAAGCAGCTAAAAGGAAGCTGATATGTATGTTTTAAAACTAAGTAAGTATCCTTACCTCTTTAAAGTCATCTTAAATCTAGCAGTGAGTTTTTGAATATATTTTATGTACATTTAAAAAATCTTTAATAAGCTAGTAGCTGAAATTATAAATGTTAAAACCTTTCTTCTGTGAAATGGCTTGGTGTGCAAAGACACTTGCCACCAACCTCGATGACCTGAGTTTTAGCCCAAGAACCCACATGATGGGAGGAGAGAGCTGACTCCTGAAAACTGTCCTCCAACCTCCACAAAACAAATGTGATTTTAACATTCAAGAAAATTTTATTCTGCAAGTTAAGAAGTTATTATACTATTTTCTGAGTTAATTTTGGAAAATGAGTTCATTTCTCCTAAGCTTAGAAGCTGCAGCACACTCACCTATAACTTTACCATTTTCATCAGTTACTGAAATACCCACAGGTACAGGGATTTCATAGTCTTTTCCTTTGGGGCCCTTCAATGCACTAACTCTACAAAAAACAAAACAAAACAAAAAACATGTAATTAAATGATTTACAAAGGCAACTAGCCATCAACCCTTCTCACTAATACAGGTACTAACAGGTTAAATGCTAAAAAAAGATTATTCCTATTTTTTACATTTTATACTGTGTCCTATAAAAATAGAAACTAGTTGTTACCAGGTTAACCACTAAAAGTCATTTCAACCTGAAATGAACTAATATATTGTACAGCTAAAATACAAAGACGATTGCTTCAATACAAATAAGTCGAACCCCCACCCCCAGCAAATCCAATGAATATACGAATCTTCTAAAAAAACTGACCATAACTGGCAGTTCTTAAATTATAGGAAGTTAATAAGAGGCTACTTTACATGAAAATAAGTTGGTATAATCTTCTAACAGTAACTCCACTTGTAGGAATTTATCAAAAACTTGAATATAAGCATAGGAATAAAGAAACAGGGTCACTTATACAGAATCTACACAGGAGATCATTAATACACTGTGGCTATGGCAATGAAAAAAAAAAAAAAAGGACAAAACCAACACTAGCCTAAACTGGCAAATGATAAAATGCTAATTCCAGCCAGGCGGTCGTGGTGCACACCTTTAATCCCAGCACTCAGGAGGCAGAGCCAGGTGGATCTCTGTGAGTTCAAGGCCAGCCTGGTCTACAGAGCGAGTTCCAGGATAGGCTCCAAAGCTACACAGAGAAACCCTGTCTCGAAAAAACAAAAAAAAAAAAAACAAAAAAAAAAATGTTAATTCCAATACTGTGACACACAGCTTTCTGAATAAAATTTAGGCATGAAAAGGTTAAGTAAAAAGGAGGCTGTAAAATATTGTGCTCTTTTACCTTATTTCTTTATGCTGGATTTTATACACAAACACATAATTACATTTGTATAAACACATAAATGCATTAGGAAAGTCGATTCAAAGCAAATAAGGGTTATATCTGGGTGGAAGATTTATAAATAAAAGACTTTTCGTGGTGGTGAGTTGCAGTGGCATTGCTGAAATTTCGCTCAAGGTAAGTTTGGAAAAAAGCTGCGATTCAGATAATTCCTATTCCCATGGAGGAAAGCAAAAGGGGCCCTGGAGAATAAATGGATGAAGGTCAAAACCATCAAAATAGCCTTGTTAGGCTTTTGCTCGGTTAGAAGCACAGACGATAATTTACTTCGAATTACTAGTCAAGTTCTATATTGCTTCCCCAGAAGGGCTTGCTCTTCATCAAGCTCAAATCACTCAATAGGTACTCACCGACTGTTCGCTCCTCCTCCAGCCACAAACCGTTTCTGAGGATATTTGTTTTTAAGTTGTTTTAAAGTCATATTTTTATGGGCTACAACCCAGACGTCACCACCTCTTCCACCTTCTCCACCTAACCGAGGGTAGCCCATTCCACCACTTCCTCCCTTGGCAAAGATTCTTAGGTTATCGATGAAATTTCCATACTTAAAAAGAAAGAGGGAGAGAGAATATTTATACACCAAATGTTCTTACCAACGTAAAGGGTCTAGTTTCACTCTACTGAGGCTTCTTTCGAGAAAGAATGAAAGCTTTCTGTACAAAAAGTGCACAGCCTTTTCTTAGACCACCTCCTTTTCCAATTCCCCTCTCTTATGATCAACTGCTTCACCTATCCCCAAGGTCTCTGCCCTTTCTGTTTTCATTCTAAACCTTCTCTCCTGGGTGATCTCAGTAGGTACCAGGAACTATCACCTAGGGAAAATGTAGGCGTTTAGTAGTTTAAAACAACTGAAAAGCAGAACTGTATTTCATTTATATTTGAAACCCTGTAAAGAAGTAACTTGTTGGTGGGTACCAGTTGAATCGATGTCCCCTCCAAAACAAAATGTTATAAAAGCAACAACAAAAAATCTGTTCCCTCAAATAATTATCGAAGTTTATCCGTTCACCAAGACTGAACAAATGGATGGCTTTTGACTGTACCTGTGGTTTTCCCAGAAGCCTAACTCTTTTCCAGTACTGCTGTCCTCTAAAAACCTTGACTGTTAACTCCAAATGGTCTTTCAATGTTTCATCATCCCCTCTTAATGCATCCACTACCATGAGCCAAGAGCTCTTTCCTTTTTTTCTTAAGTGAATCTGATGTCTGAATTTTCCTCTCCAGAGAAACAATCGTGCCTTTGGGGTTTTACTGCTCATGAAGTAGCAATATTCAGAGCTGTATTCAAGTCCTTCAGCCTGTCGTCCCAGTATTATTTTTACTTGTTAGAACTTCCCCATTCTCGCGCTCCTTTCCCGCTCCTTGCTCTTTTCTATGCAATGATCTGCTCAGCCTCCCTGCCACGCTATGCACACTTTTTCCCCTACTTAGATTATCATTTCTTTTCTATCATAAACCTACTTTCTGGTGTCAGATTTCCAATGTATTCTCAAATAACAGAACTAAAATATGGCTTAAAATATGGTTTCATGATCTGAGGCATCTTTGGCACATTGCTCTCATTGACCCTTACTCTGCCTTTGCAGGCTTCCTCAGAAATTGGATTACACCTTCTGAAATCTTATTCTGCAGTTAGTGTGTCTCTGTTTCCCTCACTAAATCAGCAACCTCCTATAAAGATCTTGTGTATTAATCCAAGGCTTTCAAATTACAGAGTAATTCCTTAAATTAATATTCACATTTTTTGATAATCTGAAATACTTTTAGGTATCAGGAATATCTGGGGATTTAAAAAAGTGAAGACTGACCACCCTGATAAACTCTTGGTAAGGGCTTTTAAAGCTGTGTTTAACATGTGACTTTTTCTTTCTAGATTCGGGAGATTTATTAAGGAATCTTATTTATAAGAGCCATCTTATAATGGCTGTTAGTAACAGAGGAAGGGCTTAAGATGACGTCTAGTTTTCAAAAACCATTACTACTTAGTCCATTCTGATTTTTTTTTTAATCCAAGCAGTTGGTTACGGATTGTTATGAAAATGGATTCTTAGACAAGCACTACATAAAAGCTAAAATCTCTGTAAGAGGCACAACAATTACACACTTTGGCTTCAGAACAAGGTCTTCAGAAAGATATTGAAAGCAGTGCAAGGGAGGAAAAACGTATAAAAAGCAGGTTATGGGTACTACTTTAAACAACGAGAGCCAAAACAAAACAAACAAAAAAAGCAAAAGCCGCTGTACGCCACGTACACCGTAATCCCGGGTCTAAACCGCAGGCAGGTACCCCGACTTTCCTCCCACGTGCTTTGAGGAATTTTCTAGGAATTCCCCAAAGCGGGGCCCCAAACGGGCCGAACCACGTCAAAGACGCAAGCTTCTCCCAGGACAGAGGGAACTGAGGAACCACACCCGGAGAGCGGCGAGAAGCACCCTAGCGGGGGCAGGACCCCCAACACGGACCTTTCTCAACAACGCGCAACCGCAGCGCACCATGAGCGCGAAGGGGCACGACTCCCTCCCGCGGAACCCGCACGAAACTCGGCGCGGCGCGCCCCTGACGTCACTGCCGCCGCGCAGCTCTGACGTCACTGCTGCTCGCCGAGGTGACGCCTTAGCAGACCGGCGCGTGCGTGGTCTAGTGCGCAGGCGGAAGAGCGGCGTGCGCCCTGGGCGGTCTGCGGGTCTGGGGTGGAGGAAGGACCGTGCAATGCGGAGCTAGGTGTGAGCAGTGTGCCGAGGGACAGCAGGGCTCAGAGTAGGAGCCTCTGCAGTTAACGTTTGGAACGAAATGCACCGGAGACGGGCCTGCCTCCCACGTTTTTATGGTCGCCGAGGGAACTATGAGGTGCCAGAATTTTCTCCGAGTGCAAAACCCTTCAACAGGAGGAAAACCAAACGTGTCAAGGACACGAAGAGCCCTACAAGACTGCTGGATGCCGACCTGAGCAAACACTAGGCAACACTTAAAACTTGTGGCGCAGAAGTGTTGGAAGAAGTGCCACGATGTTAGCTCTGTAAGAAGAATCTTGGGTGCAGGGGAGGCAAACAGAAATCCTAACCTGTTCTGGGAGTCAGCCAAGAGTTTTCACCTGTGGTGAGAACTGCCCTTGTGTGAAGGCTGTTGTCCTGAGATCATAGTTACCGTTCCTTAGTTTGGGGAGGAAGCTTCAGGAAGAGTCTGAGTATCAACTTCACTCACCACCTCCCTGCGCTTTCAGTGACAAAATGTGCACAGACATACTAGAGTGGTCTCCCTACACTGCTCATTTTATTATTTTCTATCATTAGAATTACCAGGTTCAGAATGCTTCCTAGCGGAATGCGACTCGCTCATGGTCACCGGCCAGGGTAGTGCAGTCGAGAGGAACTGTAAGAAGTTTTTTGTTACGTTCTATTTTCAGTATGAGGCGTTTTATTTTTTATTTTTTTAATTTTTATTTTTTTTTTTTGCAATACAATTCAGTTCTACATATCAGCCACGGATTCCCTTGTTCTCCCCCCTCCCGCCCTCCTCACCTTCCCCCCAGCGAACCCCCCATTCCTACCTCCTCCAGGGCAAAGCCTTCCCCCCGGACTGAGATCAACCTGGTACACTCAGTCCAGGTAGGTCCAGTCCCCTCCTCCCAGGCCGAGCCAAGCGATAATGCATAGGCCCCAGGTTTCAAACAGCCAACTCATGCAATGAGCACAGGACCCTGTCCCACTGCCTGGATGCCTCCCAAACAGATCAAGCCAATCAACTGTCTCACCCATTCAGAGGGCCTGATCCAGTTGGTGACCCCTCAGCCATTGGTTCATAGTTCATGTGTTTCCATTTGTTTGGCTATTTGTCCCTGTGCTTTATCCAACCTTGGTCTCAACAATAAACCCTCCTCATTCTCGCTAATTGGACTCCCAGAGATCCACCCGGGGCCTCGCCATGGATCTCTGCATCCAGATCCCTCAGTAGTTGGTTGGGGTTTCTAGCACGACAATTAAGGTGTTTGGCCATCCCATCACCAGAGTAGGTCAGTTCGGGCTGTCTCTCGACCATTGCCAGCAGTCTGTTGTGGGGGTATCTTTGTGGATTTCTGTGGACCTCTCTAGCACTTTGCTTCTTCCTATTCTCATGTGGTCTTCATTTACCATGGTCTCCTATTCCTTGTTCTCCCTCTCTGTTGTTGATCCAGCTGGGATCTCCCGCTCCCCCAAGCTCTCTTTCCCTCGACCTTCGCCCTTCACTACCCCCACTCATGTCCAGGCTGTTCATGTAGATCTCTTCCATTTCTCTGTCATTGGGCGATCCCTGTATGAGGCGTTTTTAAAGTTAGTGACAGATAACAGGAGGCCCCAGGCCTCAGGCCTCACCCCTAGCTGGCACCTGGCAAAGGCTTGTCTCAGAACTCTTAACATTTAGAAAGTTACAGGCAGTGTGCTACATGCCTGGGCCCTAGATTAGAAAAGGGGGCAGTCTTAAGCCCCAAATTATTCATTGGGAAGGGGGCAAGTCCTAGCATATGGGAAAAGAGGAATTTCACCAGACCAAGGGACTTTAAAAATTCATCTTCTTGTGCCAGATCACCAAGTCAGCCATTTTCCCTTTTCCTATGCTGGCGTCCCTTTCTGCAGAACCGTATATTAAAAAGTCTTCATTTTTACTAGTCTCTTGAATGTGTTATTTTATCCCCCACATTTCTACACCTTAATGCGACAGTTTCTTCACTTCTCATTAAATACAGCTATTTGAAAATGCATAGTATGGAAACCACTACTAGATTCTTTCACTCTTCCTGGACTTGGAAACTCATTGTCATTTAACCTGTAACAGTTGGGTGTTTTGTTTTTTTGGTTTTTGCTTTTTGGTGTTTTTTTTAACCTCTGTAGATTAACCATAAATATTAACCCAAATATCAGATGTTAGTTTCCATAGATTTACTTATGTTTCATTAATCAGAGTATTCATTTGCTACTATTAGACTTTTCCTGTTAAATCTAAAAAAAGCTACCATTTGAATCACGTCAGAATATTTAACATAATGCATGCATTTTCTGTTTATTTTTGATTATTGAATGCAAGCTCATTCTCTTTCCCATAACATACCCAGAAAAATGGTAACAATAATGAAATATAAATAAGAAATTGATATTTAAAATGCTAAGGACCATTGATGCTATAAAGGAAAAAAAAATATTTGTATATACCTTGAACAAAACATGGTCAGAGCATGGAATATTTTATTATGATTCTGATTACAAGATGGCAAAAGGAACCTTTGAAATCTATAAACTCTGTCACCTAAGAACATGCTGTTAAAATTGACATGAGCTGGGGCTGGAAAGATGACTCATTGGGTAAGAGCACTTCCTGCTCTTCAGAGGACCCGAAGCTGGGTCCTAGAACCCAGGTTAATTGTCTCACAGGCTCATATAACACCAGCTCCAGGGTATCTGACATCCCCTTCTGGGTGCTGTAAGACCTGCACAAACATGCACATACCCTCACTTTCAAAGCAGTTGTTTTAATCAGAATTTTAAACATTTTCTTTTGAGCTTTTAAAAATGTCTTACATGTACAAAGTGCATTCTGATTACTGCAATCCTTTACGCTCTCTTATCTGCTTTCCACCCCAGTTACCCCCCTTCCTACAAGTCTCCCTCAGTCATGTCTCCTCCTCATCATGATCCTTTGAGACCTATGGTGATATTTTATTTGTACTGAAGTGTGATTTTACTTGTACGTTAATAAAGTTGCCTGGAGGTCAGAGCTAATAGCAAGCCATCGCAGAAGCTGGGCGGTGGTGCTGCACGCCTTTAATCCCAGCTCTTGGGAGGCAGAGCTAGGCAGATCTCTGTGTGTTCAAGGATACAGCCAGCATGGAGACACACGCCTTTAATCTCAATACCAACCATAGAAGACCTGGAGGTCTGTACAGACAGGCAGTGACAAGGCGGTCATGTGGTTGGGTTTACAACCAATGAGACGGCAGAACAGAAAGTCTATATAAAGACAAACACAGGAAGCAGGTCTCTTGGCTGAAGAGGATAGCTGCAGCAGTGAAGGGTAAGGCTCTTAGCTCTGACCTCTTGGGCTTTCATCTCTGCATTGGCTCTGTGTTTCTTATTTAATAAGACGGTTACTTCTACAGAGACCCATTGACTTTAATCAGAATTGTCTGTGACAAAGGCTTCACAACTATGTATTGAGCCTGATAGACTCTTCGTGAGTGAAGTGTTAATCTAATTAATCTTTATCAATAAAAAAAAATCAGGAGTCAAATATCAGAGTAAAAACCTGAAAGATCAGAGAAGCAGAGGAGCAGCCTCCAGTTGCTCTCTACCTCTTCCATTCCTCCATCCAAAAGGGCTGAGACCTTCCCTGCGCCCTGCTTTACTACTTCCTGTATGCTATCTGTCCTTAATCCTCCAAACCTCTATGGTCAGCTAATGGCTAGCTCTGCTCTCTGACTCCAGGCAAGCTTTATTTGTCAGAACACAATCAAAATATCACATAACACATGGGTACACATTGAAGACAATGACAGAATTCATCATCAGTAGTCTCAATAGTTCAAGGAGGCATAGAGCCATGCAAGCCCCCCTTTCTGATTCATGATTGAGTAATAGACCCAGTCTTGTATAGGCCCATTGCAAGCAGTCACAGCAGCTTTGAGGTCATGTTTGCAATGGTTCTGCCATGCCCAGAAGACAGCATCTCATAGTCCTTCCTCCATCTTCCAGCTCTTACATTCTTTCTACCCCTCTTCTGCTATGATTCTTGAGCCTAAGAGTAGGTGGTATAAATGTTCTGTTTGGAGCTGAGCATTCAACAGTCACTTCTTCTCAGCACCTTGAGCAGCCATGAATCTGCACTCACTGCAGTTCACCGCAAAGAGAGACTTCTCTGATTAAGGCTGGGAGTAGCATTTACCTATGGGTATAAACATAGATATTTAGAAGGCAGCTTGATGCCACGACGGTTTAGCTCAACAACAGCAGCAAGTTTGCCTCTAAGACCACTACAGCTATGGATTTTGACTGAGTGTGAACTACCATTTTGCAATGTTTTACAGTTTACAGGAAAATTGAAATGATAGTCCACATTTGCCTAGCGTGTCCTAATGTGAATATATTAGGTCACCATCAAAAAGGAAAAAAACATTAGGCTGGACATAGTGGTGCATGCCTGTAATCCCAGCACTTGGGAGGCTAACACTGGAGAATTGGGCTGCATAATGAATTCAAGACTTTCCCAAACTATATAATGAGACCCTGTCTCAAAAAGCAAAGAACAAGGAGCTGGAGAAATGACTCAGCAGTTGAGAGCACTGGCTGCTCTTCAGTTCCCAGTACCCACATGACAGCTTACAACCAACCACATATCATTCCAAAGGACCTGACCCCCTTTTCTGGCCTCTGTGGGTATTGAGCACATGTAGTACACAGATATACATGCAGGCAAAACATCCATATGCATAAAATAAAAATAAATGAATCTTTGAAAACTAGTATGGGTACAGTATCATCAATTAAACTTCCAATTTTTGTTTGTTTGGAGTCAGTTTCTTGAGTCTGCTAGACAACCACAAC